ATTTGTACCTAGTAATCCTACGTATTTTGTACGTACCAGTAATTTTTTCTTTATTTGAATCCATCATTACTTTAGGCGCGCTCCTCCAAAAATAAAGGATACGGTGTCTTGCACWGACACTCCGCGCACCTTGGAGTGACAAAGTGTTACACACAGAACATATCTGTCCTGGATCCATACGGGTACTCATCATATATATTGACTATGGAATTTAATGCAATTGAATAACCAAACACTACTTTAAAGATATACACTACAGGTGCACCGCTCTTAATACTTCCAATAACTGACTTGCTGGGATAACTCAGGCTTGTACTCAATGTCGTCATCGTAAGCGATAGAAACATTAAGACCCTCCTCCTGCTCTTTTGCCAACGCATCAACAGTACTCTTGTCATTGACGGTATCTTCTCCGCTGCTTTCTTCCAAGAGGTTCACTGAATTATTGCTATCCTCCGGATCTGGACAATCAATTCCCTCTTGAACTGCTGGCAGGTGCTGTCGTGAGGATTCATTTCTTTCTTTACCTCCCTTGTTCACTTTGCTACTAGTGGTTCCATCAGAACCTTGATCAAGGGGGGGGCTTCTAGTAGTAGATTTAATTGACTCGGTGGTTTTATTGGGAAGAGGACAACCCGTGTATCTTGTCAACCCAATGATATCTCTTGCAATCAGTTCGCCAGTGAAGTTGCTCAAGACAATTTTGATATTGCCATTTCTGACATCAACAAATTCAGGGATTGAGTTAGCATTCATGTTTTCTTGCTTGTTTCTTTTTCACTGTTCATCAAATTATGATTTGGTCGCCAAATATTGATGCGTCTGGAACAAATATTCTCAATCGAGGAGGGAGAAGTTAGTGTGTCATTTGAACCATTCAAATTTTGCTGGGAGTGGACGCCAGCCAACTTGTCACATTTTAAATTGGATCAAAAATTTTGTTCAAGTTTTTCAGTTGTAACTCCTCTTATCCGGAGGTTACACCATAATTTTGTTGACCACAAACACCAAAAGGAACCCTCCGACTATCATCATGCCTTTTGCCAACGTGAAGACCTTTTATTGTGCCATGTGCTTTTGGGAGCTTTTAGATGGTGGAGAGAGACCCACACGCTTTGCTGATGAAACTTTTCTTTCTGTGGATGAAGAAAGTGTCTTGCGAATATTCGATGGCCAAGGATTGAGTTCTTGGATTTTCAGTACTGATCCGATGCCTCAAGAGCCATTGTTTACGATCAATTTGAAAGACACAGCATGTAGTTTTGACTTTTGACGAGTCGCTAGTGCAAATGGAAACCATTTATTTGGAAGAATGAGGATCACTGGAGACTTTGGTTCCGGCTACGATGAGAGGCTAATCTTCAAGTTTTCACTGCATGAATACAATAGAATCGGGCCTTTGATCCGCTCCTTACAAGCGACTAGTTAATAAAAGCACCAAGCCTGCTCTAAGCAAGAAATGCTGGCTGCTGTCACAGTCAATGCTCTGTGATTGTGAAACCAACGAAGCATGGTGTCACTATCAATGTCATTATGGTCACTCCTGCGTGATGGATAGTTCAACATAGATGGGTGGTTGCTAATACTACTAGCAGCGTTAGCGATTACTGTTGCTGTTATTTGAGACTCTAGATGAGCAGGCTTCTTGCTGCTGCTGCATACAACAGCAGGAACATATGACAAATAATTATACTCAACTACTAATATCATTGATTAACAGTTCAACTTAATCTTCTCCCYAAACACCAGATCGTGATATTCACCTGGATCTGTAGTGCAGTGGTACCCTTTTCTGTTCTTTCTAGTCATTTCTTTGCCTACAGCAATTARTACTAGTTAACCCAATTCATTCTTGTTGAAGTCTTCTGGGCAGAGAAAAATAGAAGAAGGTTCAAGTATTCTGATTCTGCTGTTTTTGAAACAGTGTGGCTTCTTCACCATCTCATCGTAAGTAAACATGAAGTGCTGTGATTTGGGCTTCTCATCACGATCAATTTGATTTTCCCACGTGCTGCAATACTGCAATTCACTTAGATGTTTGGAAGCTACACTAAACTTAGCTCRAACAGTGCGATCCTTCACGCAGTTCACTGAAGTTGGTCTTGTATCTACTCTTCTTCTTTTGCTCTTGTTCTTGCTGATTGGAGTTGCTTCTGCTGTTTCCTCCTCCTGTGCCTTTGGTTTCTTCTGCGCCTTTCTTTTGTTCTGAGCCTTTGCTTTCTCCTGCACTTTGTCCTTTGCTTCCTCTTCACTCATCTTTCTCGTGGGTAATGAATGCGCCTTCCTGTTCCGGAGTTTGTAGCTTGTTCGTTTTCCTTTTCTATCAAGAACACGATGAGTAAGACCTTTAAGCTTTCCAAGCTTCCCAGCTGCCTTAAATGCTTCACAAACTTCGAATCCAGCCTTTGTTGCTTCTTTAATCAAAGCTCTTCTTGAAGGAGCTCTTTCTCTCAACAAAGAAGCTCGCTTGCTTGCTAGTACTGCAGCCGCTTGCCTTGCCTTGATCCGACTGGATTCTCTCTTTGGGGCCACAGATGATATCCCCTGCTCTTCCTCCACCTCTTCATCCTCCTTGTCATCCTCTGACCCATCATTCACTGTATACACCTGCACAGTCTTCTTGCTTCGTTTGTCTCCCTTATTCTTCTTCTTGTCATCGATGCTCTCCGTATCAGTACTACTATCATCATCATCCCCATCATCCTTATCACTGTCGTCATCGTCGTCGTTGTAACCTAATTCCTTTTGCCAATATCCAATGATACCTTGCACATCTTTACTAGTAGTTACATGGTGTATCTCTTCTTCAGCAGCAGTGGCAGCTGCTGCAGTAGTCGCAGCAGCCGCTGCAGCAATAGAAGAAAAATCTTGAACGTTCTTGCTGTTGCCATTTATAGTACCAGTATTCTTGTTCCTCAGATCATAACCATGCTTTCTCATCCCAGGGGCTGAAGATTCATCAGGAGTAGGAGCAGCCACAGTAGCAGTAGCAGGAGAATTTGCAGTCGCAGGAGCAGTTGCAGTCACAGGAGGAGCAGTCACAGGAGCAGTCGCAGGAGCAGTTGCAGTCACAGGAGCAGTCGCAG